AACCCAAAAAGATAAAGACCAGATTTTTTTTCTTTAAACATCTTCTAGGAAACAAAATTTAACTGGGTCACCTGACAAACAATTTAGGCTTATTTTTTGCTTAAAGACACAGACAAGTCACCCCAGTCAAAAAAACTGCTCCCCACTTTAAAGAGAGAGAGCATGCACGAGGGAGAGGGGAAAGTCATTCTCACAGAAAAGCTATCAGTGGGAAAGACCCTTCAGACTTTACCCCACAGGCACCAGATGGTCATTTCTCTCAATGGTATCATCAGTTTACAGTAAGCCATCCTCCAGCCTGTCAGAAAGACGGGGATTACCACAAGATCACAGACAGTACACTTCAATCTTTAACCGATTAAATCAGCAATAAAGAGCAAGCAGCATCCTCTTCTTGCTCAATAGGGAACATCTTCTACAAGAAACCCCAAAAAGGAGAAAAAAGTACATGGTCAGATTCCATCCTGATGCATCTAAGAACACACACGCTGCTCAGGCACAGTGGAAGTTATACAGTTATTGGAAGCCACGCAATCCGGGCACTAAAAAAGCACGGTGCCATCACCCAGCAAGCCAGCTACGGAAACAAGAGAGCCAACAACATTCTAGTTTCCAACTGGGAGAACCTAAAATACTCCACAGTGAAAGACAAAGCTTGAAAAAGCCTTTGCCAAATTGATAAATGCTAATTTCGTCATGAAAATGCCACACTACCCCAACGAGTAACCCACGTAGGAAAAAAGGCTATCACACAGCACAGATGAAGAATATTCTAGTGCACCAGCCTGCCTTCTAGATAAGGACCACAAAAAGAAGCTCTCTCAGGTTGCTTCTATTCCAGATAAGTATATCCTTACCCTTCTGTGAGCACAAGCTGCCACGTCACGACAGAACAGAGTACTTCTCACACTTTTGTCTGCACTGCCACAGCTTTTCTGTATAGACTACTGTGATTTGGAGACAGAAAAAACAAACAAACAAAAAACCAAACCCAACCCACCAAACATAAAACACCAAATTTGAAGTATCAAATAACACTTATTCATAAAGCCATTTTTATTCAAGAAAGGGGTATCTGGTCCAAGTACAGTACAGGAATCCCTCTGTTGACAATCTTCATTTTGGCTCCAATTTTCATTTCAATGTCTTTCATGATCTTGAGCAACTTAGTTGCACACTCTGCCTCCCCTTCTCCGACCAGCAAGAATAACGCCTCTTTCACAAGACTGTTGCACATTAGTAGCTGAAGTCCAAAACTGCTCAATAACAACAGAACAACAGTGGCAGCTCAAGAAAAAAAACAAAACAGGCTGGAATACTGTTAAATAAGTACAAGTTATTGATATTCCTCTGATAACGCCTCTGACGTATGCTCCTTAGCAGACAGGTAGTCCAAACAGCTTCATGAAATACTCAAAGCTAACGCATATGTGCTCTTACATGAGACAGTTCAGAAATCCAGACTTTACCGGATTTTTCATTTCAGTATGAAATTAGGTGCTAGCCGATTTTCATCTTACCATCTTCTTTTACCATTTGGGGGGGGGGGGGGGAAACTTCTGCTTCTAGATTCCGTAGTTGTTGCTTGGTTAAAGGGATCGCAAACCTCTGACAATGCTGATGCAATGCAAATCAGCATGACATTATTCACATCATTTTAGGTGCCTTTACATTACAGAAAAACTGAACATAAACAACAGAGTCTGAATGCAGTATTATAATGTAACATGATAATATGATTACGGGGGGGAGGAGGGGGCCGCTAAGAGCTGTTCTTCAGCCGCCTCCCGCCCTGCCTCAGCCACCATCAACTTTACAACCTTCACCTTTTCAGCCTCTCAGAGTGTGACACAGGGCGCACCAGATGCCTTCCTCTGCTATTAGGTCCTCCTCTTCTCCTTATAGATATAACTTCCAATCTGAAAGTCTCTCCCTATGAAGAAAGAGTATAAACCCTCCTACCCATACCCATAGCTCTGAGGCACTGTAATCAATAGCACAAGCAAAATGCTACAGTTTCTAATTCACGCGTTACGTCTCAGTTACACTACTGGCAAAGAAGCCAAATACAGAAAATCTCACATGAAGGACATTAACTTCATTAAATATAATGATCTCTTACAGTCCTGGTTTAGTTGTTGTTAAACAAACTCCTTTCCAACAACGCAGCCAATAGCCCTCTTTCAGGCTGTACTAGTAGTAATAAAAAAAAAGTCAAAGGACAATTGACAAAAGGACTGCTCAGTGAGGAAAAAAAATTCTTGGGAGTAGACCATGAACTCAAGCCTTTCTGCTCTCACTTGTGTATCTTAATTATTAAACTAAGGAGTCTGCTCCCCTCCTTCTGGTCATTTAATCTTTAACTCTTATGCAAAGTGGTATGGCTTCAGCTCCAGAGTCAGGAATTCCCACTCACGTGTGCATGAACAGCCTGCAGGCCGCTAAGCAAACACGGGTTGAGGGTTGGAAAAGGGGTATTTGAAGCTCTCCAAGCAGACTTTCCACTTAACAAGTGTGTGCTCTGACTGCCGAGGTGGACACGAGGAAGGCTGTAACACCACTACCTGCATGTTGAGCGGCACGGCTGTCGCTTCATTCTTCACAAAACGTACTGGCAACCACTATGCATTATTTGAAACATCTGAAGGCTCGTTCCGAGACAAAACAGTGAAAACACCTTATTTCTGACAAGGTGCAGCAAAATCAAATGGCCAGCTGCTCAGCCTCATCAATACCAAGGCAATACTCAGAAGCAGAGGTAAGATGGCCAAGAAACTTTAGAGTCAAAGATGATTTATCTAAAGAGTAAGTCCCCATGATTAAGCAAGAGCTTAATGAAAATATTAAAGCTGTTGCCGTGTTAGGTATTTTTGCCTGAATTTTTTTTGCAAATCTGGACATGGAATTAACAGGGAACAAGCACCTCGGAAAGCATTTACTCTGAGGCCAATGACAGAAAGAGTCCACGAGTGATGGATCTGCTGCTCCTTCAAGCATGGACAGTGACTACAGCCCAACTCATCTCTCCTTGTCACCCAGCATTTGATCCTAAAGATTTTGGATTGAAATGGAGGGAGTTATTTTAACATATAGTCAGATCTTTCTCACTACTTCAAACCTCATCCAAATCTGTATGGACAGAAAATTATTATCTGCTAGTAACTGAGCAGCCTCTGTGAATCCACAGTAGTGACAATTGTTAGGAAGCACCTAAAAGACTATAGCATAAACCGAGTGCTCCATGCCCCTTCAAAAATATACTACACATTCTTGGTAAGGCAGGGTAAACTATTAAAATCCTGGAATAAAGTTCTTCTTTATACTCTGCCAGCAGTGAACTTGTAGAATCTCAGCATTGCCTCCCCAACAAAATCACTACAGTGGAACACATCCGTCTTGCTGGGGAAGACTTACATGGATTTATCCAAAATTCATCACCCAGCCAGTGGAACAGGAAGTTTTCTGGCTCTTAATCCATATCGTCTTTTGAAGGCCAAAGGCAGATCGAAGCATTCAGCGAGCCATGACAAAACATGCTGCTGACTCTTTAGAACATGCTTTTACACACACTCCATACTTTTCTACTGCTCCAGAAGTTATTTTCTGTGGCATACACATTGGCTAATTTGCCTAGATCTGTGCGGGAACAAGGAAAGGCTAAGCTCACAATCCATTTCCCGACTAATTACAAAATGCTCACAATCCATTTCCCGACTAATTACAAAATGCAAACTGAAACACTAGCCTTACTTTCAAAAGTGTTGGGGGCAGGGGGAGTCACCAATACAAACATTGCCTCACCTCTTTTTCTTTAATCTTGTTCTTGAAAAACCTGTCTTTGGTCTCAATCTCAGCTTCAAAAAAAAACATTTTAAGTTTCAAGTAAAAAAAAAAAAAAATCAATTTATACAAAGGCGTGAAAAGACCCAACTGCCATGAAGGGAAGCAGCAGACAAACTGGTCTGTCTCATTCCTATTCTCCACATACAGCACATAGGATTGAATGTTTGCAAAAAGATTTAAAAAATACCAGCAGTAAGACTTCATGCATTCGTTTTTAATATTGGCTCTTTTTCCTTTAATAGCAGATATATAGCATCTACTATGTTCTGATCATACTTTCATTGTCTGAATGAATAAATACAGCATGCTTACACGCTTGTTAAACACGGAGATGACACAAAAGCTACACACATGCTGGAGGACAGGAATAAGATCAAAATTATTTCGACATATTAAACAAAAATCGGAAAAATCAAATTCGGCAGGATCAACTGAAAGGTAACACACTCAGGAAAGCACGATAGACTGTATAAACACAGGATGAGGAAGAAATTTCAGCAGCACACCTTCAAGGAAAAGGGCGGCAACTCAGCAAAACTCTACTACATCATACCATTACAAAAATGTAGATACCATGCCATAATGGACAATACTAGCACCTATCAGGGTACAAAAAATAATCCTCATGCTCTTGTAAGTATGTATGTTAACACTCCTGTTGGAAAATTTTTGTCTGTTTTGGCAGTGCACTTCCAGAAAGACATGGAGTGAGCAGAGAGAAGTCAGAACAATCCAGGGAAAAGTACTACAGATCTGTTAAATAGGAGCCACAGAGAAATATGCAAGAATTGGGTTTTCAGTCTAAGAGACGATAAATGCAAGGGAAATACACTCTTACAACTTAAATTTCTAAGAGGCTGCAGTCAAGAGGAAGAGAATAACCTGTTCTTCATGTTCACTGATAGGTAGCGAGGTAATATTGCACCACGACACATGAAAGTTAGGTAACAGGGAGAACCCATCCAGTGCTAGGAATACTGGAGCACTAGAGCTACGGAGCCCTTGTCACAGAAACTCTTTAAGAACATGCTAGATAAGCACATCAGGGGTCGGCTGGTTTGGGGTTTTTTTTTGTAAGCTGCATCCAAATTATTCCCCTTACCAAATACCACAATTTCTTTTAAAGCACCAGCAGTTTCAAAACCACTTACTCTTACCTCTTTGCCTCCTCCAGGTGACAGAGGTATTCATAGGCTACGTTCTGGCGCCGTCTTTCATCCATTTCCTCTGCTGTTAATCTCTCGTTATCCAAGACAGCTGCAAATAGTCAAAACACATTCTCAGGTGGCTGAAGGCTGAACGTAACTGTTCAGGCACATCGAAAATCAGATCCAACCTTTCCCACGGAAACTCATCACAGGTTTTATTTGATTCAGAAAAAGGAAGGACCAAATGTATCTGTTCTTTACAATCAACAGAAGAGACCCTGTTTCCTTATCCCATAAACTTGCTGTCTTCCCTCTTTCTGATTTCTCAATTTGACCGTGATCCAACTTTTTCCATCTTCAAAGTTCTTAGAAACAGTCCTTCGTTTTCTTATTTTCTTCTAGCCTCGCCCTTCTCTTCCTCAAAAGCACGTCAGTGACCACACGTCCCTCCATCTATCCTCCGATTTTGGTAGTCAGAGATTAAGGAAGGACAACAATATACATTCACATCGTATAATCTCTTCTGTATCTCTCTAGTGCATCTTTAAAAAAGATGGAAACGCTGCTCACAACCCTCATCTGAAAGGGAACCATTCAGACCCCACGCACGTCCTCTTCGAGTCAAGCTGAGGACCCGCCGTGGGGTACGCGCCTAAATCGCCCAGATTCTGCGGGTTTGAAGCCTCAGTGAAAGAGCCCGCTCCTTCCACCCTTACAGCTAAACGCCTCAAAAAAAAAAAAAAGAAAACCCACAACGTTTTAGATTTCATGGACCGACTTGACACATCGGAAGCGCCTCACCCCGTTATTCATCAAGGGTTAGCTTACGCCTAGAACGCCTTCAACAAACGCATGCGAGTGATGAGGCATCAACTACGGCGCCTGGGACCGAAGAAGATCCCGGTTCAGACGGCAAAGGGTCTCCGAGAGGCCCGTCCGGAGCACCGCGGGACACCCACCCCTCCGACTCCCCCAGCCCCGCCGGCAGCTGCGAGAGCCGAGCGCCCCGGGAGCAGAGGGGGCCCCGCCTCCGCGCCCACCCGCCGCCGCCCCCCGCCCGCAGCGCCGCGATCTTC